TTTCGAGCTCGTCGCTTGCCGGACCCGCTAATCCGCGTACCTGGCCTTGCTCAGAGTGCTCAGCTGTGTTTTGCATACATGGAAAAACTTGTTATGATTCTTTTCTTTTCTCTGCTTATTCTTTTACCAGGCGTGGGCCATCCCCTGGATTATCAAAATGGGTGCCTTATTATTTTTCTGTTTTTTAGCTTGTTTTCTTTACACTTCTTTATGCGAGTTTCGTTTCAGATCTATTAAAAAAGTTCATAAGTTTTGGTTGATGAAGTTGACATGTACATTGTACGTCAGTCCAAACACTGATAATAAACAATCTCTTTTCATCTTGGTTTTATTTTTCTAAACACCTACCGGTACTTTTACCCATTCTACTTCCCCATAGCTAGATCTAGCTTTGCTTTACATTTCCGTTTCTTTTTCCTGGTGCGTGCTTGTGGCATTGAAGCCGAGACCTTTGGTCGGTGGAGCCCCTGGTACCTCACCATCACTGCTGCCCAGTGCAGCTCCTGCTCAGTAGCTGTTTGTTTTTGTCCACATAATTATTTATTTTACGAGTTGGGTTTTTGAATAATAGTGTTGTGAACCCTCTGGTTCTCTATAGTATCAGGAACGAACGACCCCACACGGCACGAGGACAACTATTTATTCTCAACAGTATATTTCACTTCCATCGACTAATACCAATGAACAATGAATGTATGAACAACGGAATGAACTGAATGACTAACACTAAAACCACCAGGTAGTTATAGCGTGAAAATGACAGCGTATATGAGAAAAGCATACACATACAACATACAACTACAGCGCACTCAGCAAACCGCACATAGCGCATGTAGCGTATACTACGTCGTAAACATCAACGGTACGGCGGAGTCGGAATACAACTGCATTGGAACGAACACAATGTCACAAGCGAGAAGGCCTTTCACTCTCGAGAACTTGTGGTTTCACAACAAATAGTAAAAAATAAAAATAAAAATAGGGTCGAAGCATCGGGATTTCATTTGGTCCCGTCAAATGGGATACTGGAGCGGGAATGAACATTGTTGACAAAAGTTTTTTTGCATGAAGTGGGTGGGTAAACCTTGTCGAAGTCCTACCCGGCCGGACTAGGTGCTACGGCACTGCCTTATTTGTCATGTACATGTGTAGTTGATTGTTTGCCTGTATGGTTTTTTTCTCTTGTCATCATTGTCACAGCTAAGGCGTTGTGCTTTGGGAGATCTTCACCAGGCAAACGCCATACGGACATCTGAAGCGTGAGACGGACGTGGAGAAGGCAATAGAGAATGGTCATCAGCTGCCTAATCCACCAGGTATGCCCTATGACTATCGTCATCTGGTCGAGGCCTGCTTGAGACCAGAAGCGGCCAACCGTCCGTGCTTCAGTGATATACTCCATGATCTGGAAGTACAACAAGTGAATGCTTGACATTATTCTGATCTCTCAGTTCCCGCAACACGCCTTCTCTCGAGCTGGGCTGTTTTCGGTTAACCCGAACCCCGATTACCGGAAGGTGTGAGCGTGTACATGCACCGGTACATGTAAGCAAGCGTGGTACATGTGCTATGCATCTATTATTATTGTTAGTATTACTTGCATGTACGCGTTGGAGTCAACCATGCAAGCATGATTCACAAATTCGCTTATGCTGAATATGATAAACAGGACTATGACAGGGAAAAAATTAAGCTAGAACGATGATATAATGATATTATAATTATCATTATACAGTGTGGCTCAAGGGTATTGAAGATATGTCATTAATGAATATGTCTATATGTCATTTATGAATATGTCTATATGTCATTTATGAATATTGAAGCCTGAGTGATAATAATAGTGCTATTTCCTGAGTTTGACTGTTTCAGGATCTGTCGGAATATCACAATGCACAGATCTTCATGCATAGATCTCGCCACGCGGGTCGGTCATGGGCAATGGCTCGCAGTCTCTGCAGAGCGTCTAGGTTCCCGAGCAATCCAGCATTGGCTTGGCGCAGATCTCCCACCAATGCCTGCGGCAGGGTCGTCCGCGGTCTACCCCTCCAGCAATGCTGTCGCTGATTGGCGAAGTACGCGAACATAGCCATAACAGCTGGGGATTCATCCGCCATTCGCAGGATGTGGCCAAAAAGCCTCCAGCGTGATCTCTTGACCATGACACTCAAGGGTTCAGGTTCGCATCTGGCATAGAGAGCATCATTTAGTATTATTTGTGGCCATTTCACGCCGATGAGTGACCTCAACTGACGGCGGTGGAAGGAATCCAGGCGAAACAGAACGCTATGCATCTGTTGTGAATATAGTTGGAAACAGACTTACCACGCATCAACTGGGTGATTTTGATTATCTGTCAACGTCTTCAGCCCTCGCCCACTTATGATGGTCTCATGACCTAGCTTGATGGAACTTACACAACCACTACTCTGTTGTAAACCTGCCTCAGCAACGAACCACCACATGGTTTATATTGTATCGTGTTATCGCCTGTCGACGGGGATTCCTGTTTTCGCTTGAGTGATGAGATACCTGGTATGGGGAAACTGGTAAGAGATGGAGGACGAAAACGAAGAGACAAGCAGAAGAGTAATTATAGCATCAAGGTCAAGTCACTGCAAGAGTGTCGATGCTGTAGAGTAGGCTTCCCCCGAACCCGGCCCGGTTTTTTTCCCCTATTCGGCTTTTCGCTAAGCTCGAAAATGCATAAGATTCGGCTTTCAAAATTGGAATATATTGGAAAATAGGCTAAAAAAATTGTTGGCATATTGGCTTCAAAACTGGTGAGATACTAGAAATACAGCTCTGCTAGATGGAATTGGCCACAACTGTACGTTGTAGTGTGGTATTTTACTAGTAACGATTTTCCTAATGGCTAATGTTTGTTTGAGAGGAGGTCAAAGGACACGATGCAGCTAATGGGAGTTCGGTCTTTGACCACTTGGTGGTGGGTCTGATCTACTCACCTCCAACCGTTTAGGCACTGCATCTGCGCCTTTGATCCTAGAGGGTGGTGGTGTTCCCACGGCGGATGCGGAAAACTCGGCTTCTAGCCGAGTCTCACGTGAACCCTGAAATAGATTATTAAAGGACACGAGTCACACGACCTCAAGTACGACAAGTCTGAAGTAGAGAGCTCGAGCAGTCACGTTTGCAGCAACATCATTCGTTCGTAAACCCACTTTGCAGCAACATTTGGTGGATTTTGGGCGATTCTCAAAGGATCCCTCCAAATCGGCGACAAACTTAGCGATTTTTCTACAAGTCTCGTTTTCGGCGAATTTTTCGGCATGCTGATTTGGGGAAAGCCTACTGTAGAGTGCCCTTACGAAAAAGCTTCTTAAATAATAATTCGAAGAGGGTTTTAACGCAAACCGTTTCGCAAGGCCGTACACAAGGTGTTGCATGCCTGTAAACCAGTATTGTTTTCAGATATACATGCACATGTACACTAGCAACAATACACACCATACATATACATGTACACTAGCATTAGTAGCAGCACTACACACCATCAATTCCCTTGCCATATATGTACTTGCACACTAGCAACACTACACACCATACATATACAGGTACACTAGCATTAGTAGCAGCCCTACACACCATCAATTCCCTTGCCATATACATGTATGTACTTGCACACTAGCAACACTACACACCATACATATACAGGTACACTAGCATTAGTAGCAGCACTACACACCATCAATTCCCTTGCCATATATGTACTTGCACACTAGCAACACTACACACCATACATGTACATATACATGTACATGATTGTACACTAGCAACACTACACACCATCATTTCCTTACCGTTTTCTCTTAGACAGCCTTTTTGTAGGGTGGTGTGTTGTTCAAGAGGGTAGCAATGAAATTGATTGCTGTGTCTCTGGCGGAAGTGCGACGTGCACGTTTTCCTGAAGTACATAATTTATTCCCCACAGCAGTCTTATCCAATGTGTACGTGGCATGTGCCTTTCCACTACTGTGAGAAAGTGGCTGCCTGCTGACAGTATGACAGGATGTAGAACAACCAAACAAGATACGCAGTGCATATGATTGTATTTTAATTTTTTAATTAACTTTTCGTTTTCCGTGATCAGCAGACGATTATTATCTGTGGACAGGCGTTGCTTGAAAACACAATGGAGGAAGATATGTGGAAGTACCATTGGCCCTAGTTGTGGGCAGCCGCCATGTCTTGTATGCAGTGCCTCATATCGATCCAACGTTCCTTCACGACTACAGGACAGCGTGCACCATGCAAGCTGCTCAGGATTTTTCCCTTTCCTATGCAACTACTTGCTAACAGATTGGGTATAGAAGTAAAAGTTCGCACGTCCGCGTTACAACCGGTTGTACAATTGTGTTGAGAAACAAAAAACTAACTACTTTAAAAGACGTTTCTCTGGATCTCCGAAAGACTTTTAAAGTATAAATCGTAGAATATGCGCTGAAAGGCTGCCTTGGACGTATCACCCCTCTTGCCATCTTGATCATGTGTTCCTCCGCGCGGAGAACTGTCTGTGTCGTGGTTTTAGATGTGTTCGCATCAGTTCTCCTTCTAACTGGTGGTACTGTAAGCGTCCTTGACACAGTGGCAGACGACAGCCTTAGCCGGCTTGCAGCACCACTTGAATTCCGTGATGTTTACCAATATCCGCACTTGGGTTACTATAGAATGAATCAATTGTATTTTGTCCGTTGTACCCCATCCAGCACTGTATTTCTACAGTCCACTCGCTACCGTGTAGCTGAGCATATTGTGAGGCTGATAATTCCATGGAGAAAGGGATCACCTGTGGAACGTACAGATACCCTTGTTGCAATGGAGGTTTCTAATCCTGGTTTGAGATCATGGAGGCACCTGGCGGAGTTGACATACCCGGACCTTGGCTCACTGTGTCGACGGTCTTCGTATTTTACGCCCGCTCTTGCCACATCACCTGACAGAAGAGACCTGATCTTTTACGACTTCGGACCCTGGCCAGAATGCGACATGATGTTCGTGTGGAGAGATATGCAACTACGAAGGGTGCATACACCAAAGGTGAGTGCGGGCAGTGCAAGATATCTTCAGTCAATTGTTACCTTGAGAGATGACGAAGAGCACGCCAATACTTATCGGGTGTTTTCTTACGGTGGCCTTGTGTGCATCAAAGATCTACCGACATTGATCAAACTTCCCCAACTGGACAAATATTGCACGATTTCCTCCAGCCTGCGATACATGCACATTCTAAGTAAGACGGGAGATCATATAGAAGGCACCCAATGGCGAGAGCTAGAAGAGGTTTATTCGCCCTTTCGCCCTCGTCCTCTTCTTTTCCCATCCTTACTTGCAGCCAACCACACCATTATTGCGTACGGTGGAGTGCCAGCATATAATGTACACTACCCCAGAATGAACAAACCTCGAGATGTGGATAGCTACTGCACGTTTTGGGTCTTCAATGTCCGAAAGCGCTCTTGGACGTCTCGTCACAACAACGCCACGGACATATGTCGCCTTTCCGGACATGGCCGCCAGTTGTTTCCAGTCTCTGTTACAGCAAAAATGCTGGCACTAGCCAACAGACCGCGCGCAGTCTTGTTTGCGAACGAATCGAAGATTCTCCTGCACTTTTCTGATCGCCACGTTCTGCGTGTGGTTGAAGTATGCAGTGTGCCACAGAACCATAATATTATCTCTCCATCTAGCACACTATCCTGTCGACGAATACTGACCCAGCAATCCAAGTTGACGTCTACCAGGTCTACCGTGAACAGCTGGATTGGCTCTCCTTATTACTCAGTTGGTGGTGGAGTCGGTGCATTCTTTGGGACGGTAGAGCAGGTGTGGACCATACGGCCTGCAGCATTCTTGTCCACTTGCCCCAGCTTGGCTGAGAACACTGAGCGCGGGTGCAATGATTTCGTCGAGGAGATGATATACGATGCCATCAGGCCAGCCTACCGTCTCCCTGGTGGGTTGGGCTGTGTATGGAGTGGTGTTGTTCTACAAACCATCCTGGGAAAGGAGAGAGCTATATTCTTGCCTGGCTCTAGATGCCTCTGGTCAGAACAAGCCATACGTCACAATGTCTACTGGATCCTTGATACGACAACGAATGCGTATGAGACTAGAACGATGGCACAATGTACAGAACATAACATCCGTGATCTCACTGGATCAACTGCTACACAACTTACTCCTGGTGTGGTATTCTTGTTAGGTACGGGATACACTGATAGTCCTCTGCATCCCCGCACAATCATGTGGTGTATTAATATACTGAACTTCACCTGTATGGAATTTACTAACGCTGGCACTGTTCAACTGTCGACACGATACGGTCATATGGCAGTACGGATCGATGATACACATCTTCTGGTCTACGGGGGGAAGAACAAGACCACATCAGATTATCTCTCTGATCTCTGGGTACTCACATTTGACAGTATAGACCAGTGCAAAGGAACGTGGAAGATTCTGAAACCTACGCATCTCTTGGGCGCAGTGATGCCAAGTCTTCCCAATCCGCAAACAACACGCATCAATAATACTATTTTCGTTTTCGGTGACACATCAGCATGTACTGACTACATAATGGCACTGGATATCTCCCGATACTTAGACAACGGTACAATTCGGATCAACCAAGTCTCCGTACAGCCCTGTCTGTCTAAGAGAGCAGATTTCGCTAGTGTTCAGTACAACGAGAATGGCATATTATTGTTCGGTGGTTGGACTGCCTTAGGTCAACTAGCCACGGTTGCACAGCTCATCCTTCTGAATACTTCCAACCTGCTTTCGCAAGGAAGGGTGATGCCCCTTTTCGACCATACAAATGAAGTCAGCATCTTTGATCACCGTATGGTGAGCGGGCAGCGTCTCTATGTATTCTCGGGACATGCGGTCCCCAGCAAGCCAGAAAAGTATCTAACGATTGAGACCGAGCTCTGTCCGGCGGGGTACGGGCTGCGTGAGGATAAGACGTGTCGACCCTGTCCGCATGGTTTCTTTTCTTCAACTCTACGTGACAGATGCAAACCGTGTCCCAATTTCACGACGACAAAGACAGAAGGATCGAGCGCCTGTATTGCAATATCTCCGTGCCATTCCCAGTACTGCCATCAGCACGGGGTGTGTATCGTGACCGACTTCGCCGCCAGCTGCCATTGCTACTTTGGTTACGTGTCGTATGACAACTGTAGACTACCACTGGTGAACTTGGCCATTGCATCCGCTATTCTGCTCCTCGTCTCCTTCATTGCTCTTGCTCTACGAAAATACCACATGAGAAACCAGCAACTCAAGCTTAAGGAGAGGGAGCTGCAGGACAAACACAAGAGTATGCGACTGTATCAGAAGAAGCTAGACCAGATCAACATCGGAGCAAGAATACGCTGGTCATCGCTGAACCTCACCAAGAAACTTGCCAGGGGAGCATTCTCGCAAGTGTGGCTAGCCGAGTTCAGCGACATGTTAGTAGCTGTGAAAGTACTCCCCAAATATACTGGTAGAAATACCTCGCAGACAGACCAGTTCGTCCAGGAAGCTGAGGTCCTGCGTTCAATTCGTCACCCCAACATCGTCATCTTCTTGGGAGCTGGCACAAATAGATTCAGCAAAAGACCGTTTATCGTGATGGAGTACTTGCGGCGAGGTTCTCTCCACAATGTACTCCACGATGGCGGGAACGTGTTCACACACCACGATCATCTGAGATTTGCTCTGGACACAGCCCGAGGTATGACGTACTTGCACGAATCCAACCCGCCACGTCTGCACCGAGACCTGAAATCTCCCAACCTTCTAGTCAGCGACAAGTGGGTGGTGAAAATCGGCGATCTTGGCAACTCGCGATTTATGGCCATTCTGGATGAGGAGAAGGCGACAGCAGCGAACAGCACCAGTGCTAGTGCCGCTCAGACACAGTCATCAAACATGGCGGCGGGCGCGCAGTCCGTAAGTGAAAGCCCCAGCGAAAATGTACTTATCGAGCCTCCTTGTACCGGAGCAGTACTTGACAGACGTGATTCCAAGAGCTCGCTTGCACTATCAGGAAGCCAGGAGACCAGTCTGTCAACGCCCCTACTCACCGATGTCTCCACAAACCATGGAGAGACGTATCAGCGCTATTCGGCATCAGTGATGACTCGCGGCGTGGGGACTCTGCGCTGGAAGTCACCGGAGTCAGTACGTGGCGAGCATTACAATGAGAAAGCTGATATCTACAGGTGAGTGTGAAGTTTGTGAAAGATATAATTTTATAATCACTCTTAGAAACCACGATCACAGCCACACTGTGTATTGTGCAGCACAGCTGGTTTCTCCCGAAACTAGCAATACAATCTACTCTCAACAAAAGTACTTTTATATCGTTTTGATTCTAAACAGGGAGCAGTACACTACCGGTCGTGGATATTGAAATCCGGTGGGATGACCGGGGTCAGCGCCCTTACTGGCCTTAGTAAACTTACGTCATTACACTGCTCTACACAACTCGTACACTAGTAGTCCCTACCAGGGAGTGGTATTGTACTACTCCCTGGTCACTACCCCTGCACTCACAATCGAGTTACCCTACGTATTACCATGATTACACATAATTATAACTTACCACCGTACAGAACCCTCTCACGATGGTGTAGTTCTCAGCAACCATGTACTTGTACTGTAAACTGGCTATTATCCTCCACGGATTAATGTTTGCTATTTTCGCGAGAAGAGCGTAACGCGAATATTGACCATCGTGAAATCTAATTTCAATAGTGTGTGTATGTAGGTGACTCCAGTGCTTCGCGAACTTTTGCCATCGCAAACTCGCTGGTTCTAAGAAATCGCGAAAAATTGTGACGCGAATATTGAGCGGCTTACAGTTCCCTACACTTTCTTGATCTAGGATCCAACAAATTAGTCGAGTCTTCTCTCAGATTTATGCTTTTTGCGAAGTGTTATTTTTTGTCGGTAAACGCCTTCGCATTCCTGTTAGTGTTAACTTTCTCTTCATTGTAAAGTGTACTCTCGTGCCATGGTGACCATAGTTCAAAAGAAAAATGAAGAAACGGTGGAGACCCTTTAGCTTTGAAATGTAGCATGATGGCCGAGAGCAAATGTCCAGGCACAAGACCGGATGGTGAAAGTCAGATTTTCTTCCCATTGCATTCTATTCCCTTTTTCCCAGGCATGCCTTTATAGGGTCGTAGCATTAGGATGTTTCATCTGGTCAGGTTAAAGAGGAAACTTGGGCAGAAATGAATATTAATGACAAAAAAACATTTTGCGGGAATTTTGAAGGTCTACCTTTTTCGAATGAAGGTCCAGGCATGGCCTACCCGGCCAGACTGGATGCTACAGCCCTGCTTTATTTGTCATGTAGGTGTGTAGTTGACTGTTTGCCTGTATGGTGTTTTTCGCTTCATTCTCACAGCTATGGGGTTGTGCTTTGGGAGATCTTCACCAGGCAAACGCCATACGGACATCTGAAGCGTGAGACGGACGTGGAGAAGGCAATAGAGAATGGTCACCAGCTGCCTATTCCACCGGGCATGCCCTATGACTATCGTCATCTGGTCGAGGCCTGCTTGAGACCAAAAGCGGCCAACCGTCCATGCTTCAGTGAGATACTCCATGATCTGGAAGTTCAACAAGTGAATGCTTGACCATGTTATTCTCTCAGTACAGCGCAGTGCGTAACACTGCCCCTGCAATTAGTCGCGAAGAATTGGTGCATGCCCTTTCTGGCTGGTGCAGCTCGTCTGCCCGTGACTGGGTTCGCGACTTTATATCTGGTCGATTCCCGCGTGTTCGTGTCGGCGAGTCGGTTTCAATGCCTTCTCCCTCATCTGCCAAAGTTTCCCAGGGTTCACAATCATTTTGGTCCAATTTTGTCTAGCATGAGCATAGATTCCCTCGTCAGTGTACCCTGTAGTGGTGGAATGACTCTATTTGCTGACGATTCCAATCTTGTCTGCTGCTCGGTACCTGACCCGTCCAATCTGATCTGGCCCGCTGTCTGCTCTGGTCTGAGGGCATCTCAGCTATATTAAATTGTAACCCCACTATATGTTATCATCTTTGCCCCAACCACAGCTACTTCTGGGACCGTTTCCATGAACAGCGATAGTCTCCCTATCTACCATTATATCCGTGTCCTATTATCATCCACTTTGAATTTTTCTCATCATATTGTTGCCTTTTAAATTTCGTTTTCGTGTTTTTTCCTTCGAAATATGTTGCATTTCCTCCCACTTTCCACTATCAGTGTCACAAGTTTATACAAGTGTTATGTCCGACCCCTCCTGGAGAATGCCATGCCGGTTTGGAAGTACTCAATGAATAGAAGTTTTGCTTCCATGCTTCATAAACTTCGAGCCACGGCCGCTAGGTCATACTTGTCCTGCGTTCACAAGTCAATAAATCGCTGCACTCTCTTCTGCAAATCCTCCTACTTGTACTCTCAATTTGTACTCTCATTTCTTTCACTCTTATGAAGGCTATGATGTCAAGAGGGGGGACACGTCCAAGCTAGCCTTTCTGCGCCTGTTACTACAATTATGGCTTCCTTATACCCAGACAAACTTCCAATTAAAGTTGTTTGTGTTTGTCAACACAATTGTACAACCGGTTGCAACGGGGACGTGCGAACTTTATTTTTACTTTTCTACCCAATCTCTTGGCAAGGAGTTGCATTGGAAAGGAAGAAAATCCAGAGCAGCTTTTATGATGCACGCTGTCCGCTTCTCGAGAAGGGACGTGTGATCTATACGAGTCACTGCATACAAGACACAAAGGGTGATAACAACTAGGGCCAGCGATACTTACACACAGCGTCATCCAAACCTCCGTTGTGTATTCACACAACCCGTATGTGCATGAACATGTACATGTGTATCGTCTTCGCATCACGGGAAATGATAGCTTTAATTAAAGTTATATTAATTCCGCGTCTGGTTACCACCATTGTTGTTCTCCCTGACGTGCTGTCAGGACGCAACCACTTTTGGAGAGATTGTATGCACCGTGAGCGCTATGATAGCAGCACTCAGCTGGCTAGGTCTGTGTAATGAACGCCATGATAGCAGTACTCAGCTGGCTAGGCATGTGTGGAGCCTTAGGTCAGGATAGACCTTACGAGATTTCCTGGGCTGTCAAGGAGCGTGCTAATTCCTACTCCAATGTCGCAATGCGCTGGAACCTCTGCATAGCCGAGAAGTATCACATCCCTGCATTAGACCCCAGAATCTCCCTCAACAAGTGCACGGTCATTGCGTCGAAGTGTCGCCATGCTGCGAAGTTCCTGCTTGGTAAGTACAAAGGAGTGACCTAAACCACATTTGCTACACCCGCTAAATCCATGTATGAAATTCCTCAAGCTTGCTTACACACATAGCTGCCTCTATAACACTACTGCATATACATGTAACCGGATCTTGGCTGTTCATCCAGTTTTAGTTGTCTGAGAGATTGTATAAAATTACTGTAATAGACCGCCCTCGGGAATCAAATTACTCCAGGACAAAAACGTGCAGCTCGCCCTTCCACCAGGGGCACATCAGCGTGATAACTATTAAGGATGACGTCATTTTCATTGCTATCCTCATGCCCAGGCAACGGTCACACCTGGCTTCACCACAATACTAGTATTAGACCTCAATACAGTATTATCTATGGTTATAAGGCAGAGTGAGTCCATCTGGACATCTGTACGTAAAAAAATATAGAAAAATGTACATTTTTTATAAGGCAGAGTGAGTCGATCTGGACACGTGTACATGGACGAAGAAAAACCTAGAGGCAGGGATCCATGGCCGAATAGTACATACCTGATCTCCGTTCCGAGCCCAGCCACATTCAGTTCTGCGCCCTGCTAAAAGCACACGGACAGTAGAATAGGAAACATGTTTCGCAATATTTGTATGATGCTCGTTTATACTTCAGAAGTATGTACATGTAGTATATTCGCATTCGTTTATTACTTTAGTTTCGCTCTACTTTGTACAGTAATATGCTGGGACATGTACATGTACATGTATCCAGTAGTGATGCCATGGATCATACATGTACATGTACGGTGGGCGAAGCTTGCAACATTATGTCCCACAGGCACTTCCACCATCTCACTTTTCCTTGGTGGTGGTAGCTGCTTCCCTCCTTCCAATCCGGCAAATATTTCGATTTCAATAGCACGCTGGCTTCGTGGAAAAGAGAAAGGAAGCATCGTACACCGTGACAACTAATGTTGCGATTGTTCACTCTCTTGCAGCTCGAAGATAGAGACAGCTGAGGACGTTCTAGGTGTTCAGAGAATTATGTATGAATTTCAGCAATGTGACTAGAGCTGATATCAATATCGTATTTCGCTTTGCTCTTGTAGCAGCTGAGCACTCTCATATGGGGTAGTGCCTTTGCCATTTGCGCTATGCAGAGCTCACTGACTTATCAGTTGTAGCACTCTGGCAAGGTACGTTCGGGCCTGGTTTAATCTGGCTTTGAAAAATTTATTTTTCATTGTTATCAGGTTCGGCTTCATTTTCTCTGTGCTGCGCTGATGAGTCCACAAAGGACGAAACAGTTCTGTCCGCAGATTGAGTTTTCCTTTTAATGAAATTGAGAAAGTTGAAATGAGAAAAGTAAGACGAAGATGAAAGCGCCGTGCCTGGATATAAGGCGATGACACTGCAAGTATTGAATATGATATTGATATGATATTGATATGATATTGATTATGATATTGATATGATATTGTTGTGGTATTGATATCAGCTCTAGTTAAATTGTTGAAATAATTCATACAATCATATGTATTTCCTGAGCACCTAAGAGCGTTCCCGGCTGTCTCTATCTTCGAGCCCCAAGAGAATGAGCAATCTCAATACTAGTTTTTACCGTGTACGTGTTTCCTTTCTCTTTTCCACAAAGACATAGATAGCAATAGCGACAGCACACAAAGTGAAGGGTAGTTGGCCGCAGCCAGATGTGAACCGGATAACGAGTGAGGTATGGAAGCAAGGGTTGAGAACAGAGTGTCTCAGATAGAATAGGCGTGCCAGTGGATAGCAGAAATGGGCCATGATGCAGAGCCACTTGTGACCGTCAGATTAATTTTCCTTGACCGAGCCAGCCGGGGAAAAAACCCTCGCGTCGACGGACGCAGATGTGAGGGAAAAACCGGGTGTATATCCCCAATGGCGATTAGGTATCATGAAGGCATGGCAAGCACATAACGGCAAACAGTGATAGAAAACAATGATAATATGCACAGAAATGAAGGGTGGGAGGGCAGGGACACTGGTGCGACTCAAAACTGACTGAAGAAGTCAGGAAAAGAAGCGACAATAAAGAACACACCAGATGCCATATTTGCAACTGAAATAATTTCGCGAGAAATCATTTTTCTCGCCTATCTCGCTGCGCTCGGCCTGCGAGAAATACAACCTCTCTCTTTTCCCCAAAGCCAGAATGCTTTTGAAATAGATACATTTGCCGGGTGGAAAAGAGCTACCACCTCCAAGGAAAAGGGAGATGGTGGAAGTGCTTGTGGGACATAATGATACCAGTAGCAAGCTTCGCCCATCATGCATGTACATGTATGATCCATGGCATCACTGCTGGGTACATGTACAAGTATGTGCACCAGACCAGAAGATTACTATACAATGCAGACACAAAGGCACACAATGAAAACCTTGGCCAATTCCGTTGTAACAACGGACTTCGCCAAGGTTTCATTGTGTGCCTTCGTGTACGCCGCTCTGCCTCAATCAGGTATTGAGCACTTTCGCAGAACCTAAGCATACTGCCTCTATACAATGGAGAGGTATCATGACACATACCAGAAACAGGACCAAATAATTTTGCCACTCTGCTTCTGTGGTGAAGCCAGGTGTGACCGTTGCCTCGGGCATGAGGGTACAGAAGCAATGAAATTGACGTCATTCATAATAATTAACGATGACGATGATGTGCCTCTGGCGGAAAGGCGAGTTGCACGTTTTTTAAACTCTTTTCCTGAAGTCATTTGATTCCTGTGAGCTGTCTTATGCAACGTATACAATTTCATGTGCGTCTGCACTGCTCCCACAAAGTGACTGCCTCACGACATGTCGTCCGAAAGAAGAACAATCAAACAAAACGCGCGATGTAATTTAAATTAAGCTATAGTTTTCCGTGGTACGAAGACGATAATAGATGTACATGCACAGTGCTTGATTACACAAGGCAGGTTATGATGACGCTGTGTGGAAGTATCGCTGGTCCCAGTTGTTAGCAGCCGCCGGGTCTTCTATGCAGTGACTCGTATGGATCACACGTTCCTGCTGGAGAAGAGGACAGCGTGCACCATGCCAGGTGTTCAGGTTTTTCTCCATTTTTCCAATGCAACTCCTTGCTAACAGATTGGGTATAAAAGTAAAAGTCGAGTTCGCACGTTTAGTTCGCGTTACAACCGACTATACTTTTCTGTTGAGAAAAACAAACAACTTTGGAAGTTTCGCTGGGTAAAAAGACGCCACATATCGCAGAACAGGCGCAGAAGGGCTAGCTTGGACGTGTCAACCCTCTTGCCATCTTGATTATGTGTACCTCCGCGTGCAGAACTGTCTGTGCCCTGGTTTTAGACGTATTCGCGTTAGTTCTTCTGGTAACTGATGGTGTTGCTCTAACCGTCCATGACACAGCGACAGACGGCAGCTTTGGTCGGCTCCCAGCTCCACTTGAATTCCACAATGTTTACCAGTATCCAAGACTGATTTACCGCAGATTACCGAGCCATGCCTTTGTCCGTTCCACGCCAGCCAGTACTCTTCTTCTACAGTCCACTCGCTACGGTGTGGCTGAGCATATTGTGAGGCTGATGCCTCAAGGGGAAAAAGGCTCACTTAAGGAACGCACAGACACCCTTGTTGCAATGGACGTGTCTTATCTTGGTTTGAGATCATGGAGACACCTGGCAAAGTTGACGTACAAGGACCTTGGCTCGCTTTGTCGACGGACTTTGTATTTTACGCCCGCTCTTGCCGCATCACCTGACAGAAGAGACCTGATCATTTACGACTTCGGACCCTGGCCAGAATGCGACATGATGTTCGTGTGGAGAGATATGCAACTGCGAAGAGTGAACACACCAAAGGTGAGTTCGGGCAGTGCAAGATATCTTCAGTCAATTGTGACCTTGAGAGATGACGAAGAGCACGCCAATACTTATCGGGTGTTTTCTTACGGTGGCCTTGTGTGCATCAAAGATCTACCGACATTGATCGAACTTCCCCAACTGGACAAATATTGCAGGATTTCCTCCAGCCTGCGATACATGCACATTCTAAGTAAGACGGGAGATCATATACAAGGCACTCAATGGCGAGAGCTAGAAGAGGTGGATTCGCCCTTTCGCCCTCGTCCTCTTCTTTTCCCATCCTTACTTGCAGTCAACCACACCATTATTGCCTACGGTGGAGTACCAGCCTATCACGTACACAATTCCAAAATAAACAAACTTGCAGAAGTGAATAGCTACTGCACGTTTTGGATCTTCAATGTCCAAAAGCGTGCTTGGACGTCTCGTCACAACAACGCCACGGACATATGTCACCTTTCCGGACATGGCCGCTCGTTGTTTCCAGTCTCTGTTACAGCAAAAAAGCATGCAAAAAAGCATGCAGTAGCAAACAGACCCCGCGCAGTCTTGTTTGCGAACGAATCGAAGATTCTCCTGCACTTTTCTGTACGGAACGTTCTGCGTGTGGTTGAGGTATGCAGTGTGGCACAGAACCATAACAATATTATTATTATCTCTCCATCTAGCACAATATCCTGCCGACGAATACTGACCCAGGAATCCAAGTTGACATCTAAAATGATAAATTATAACCGGTTTGGCTCTCCTTATCACTCAGTTGGTGGCGGAGTCGGTGCTTTCTTTGGGACGGCAGAGCGGGAGTGGACCTTACGGCCGGCAGCACCCTTGTCCACTTGCCCCAGCTTGGCTGAGAACACTGAGCGCGGGTGCAATGATTTCGTCGAGGAGATGATATACGATGTCTACAGGCCAGCCTACGCTCTACCTGGTGGGTTGAGCTGTTTATGGAGTAGTGTTGTTGTACAAACCATACTGGGAAAGGAGAGAGCGATATTCTTGCCCGGTTCTGGATGCTTCTGGTGAAATAAAAAAAAAGCCATACGTCACAATGTCTACTGGATCCTTGATACGACAACGAATGCGTTTGAGACTAGAACGATGGCAAAGTGTACAGAACATCACATCCGTGATCTCACTGGATCAACTGCAACACAACTTACTCCTGGTGTGGTATTCTTGTTAGGTACGGGATACATTGATAGTCCTCTGCATCCCCGCACAATCATGTGGTGCATTAATATACTGAACTTCGCCTGCATGGAATTTACTAACGCTGGCACAGTTCAACCGTCGACACGATACAATCACATGGCGGTACGACTCGATGACAGACATCTTCTGGTCTACGAGGGAAAGGATGATGATACATCAGAATGGGGGGATGACGACACATCAGAAGATCTCTCTGACATCTGGGTACTCACATTAGACAGTATAGGCCAGTGTAAAGGAACGTGGAAGATTCTCAAACCTACCAATCTCTTTGGCGCAGGAATGCCACGTCTTCGTAATCCGCGAGCAACACAGATCGATCATACTCTTTTCGTATTCGGTGACACATTAGCATGTACTGACTACATAGTGGCACTGGATATCTCCCGATACTTAGACAACGGTACAATTCGAATCAACCAAGTCTCCGTTAGGCCCTGTATGCCTGCGATGAAAGCCTTCGCTAGTGTCCAGTACAACAAGAATGGCACACTATTACTCGGTGGTTTGACTGGCTTCTTTTTAAAACCACGCACGACTTCACAGCTTATCCTTCTGAATACTTCCAACCTACAAGCGCAGGCCAGAGTGGTGCCCTTTTTCAGCCATGGAAATGTAATCAAAAGTTTCAAACATCCTGATATCGTGACAGGTCAGCGTCTCTATGTATTCTCGGGAGGGCTACCCACCAGAGATCGTGGAAAGTATCTAACTATTGAGACCGAGCTCTGTCCGTTGGGGTACGAGCTGCGTAAGGATAAGACATGTCAACCCTGTCCGCATGGTTTCTTTTCTTCAACTCTACATGACAGATGTAAACCGTGTCCCAATTTCACAACAACAGAGACAGAAGGATCGAGTGCCTGCGTTGCAATATCCCCATGCCATTCCCAGTATTGCCATCAGCACGGGATGTACATCGTGACCGACTTCAGCGCCAGCTGCCATTGCGACTTTGGTTACGTGTCGTATGACAACTGTAGACTACCACTGGTGAACTTGGCCATTGCATCCGCTATTCTGCTCCTCGTCTCCTTCATTGCTCTTGCTCTACGAAAATACAACACGAGAAGCCAGCAACTCAAGCTCAAGGAGAGAGAGCTGCAGGACAAACACAAGAGTATGCGACTGTATCAGAAGAAGCTAGACCAGATCAACATCGGAGCAAGAATACGCTGGTCATCGCTGAACCTCACCAAGAAACTGGCCAGGGGAGCATTCTCGCTAGTGTGGCAAGCCGAGTTCAGCGACATGTTAGTAGCTGTGAAAGTACTCCCCAAATATACTGGTAGAAATACCTCGCAGACAGACCAGTTCGTCCAGGAAGCTGAAGTCCTGCGTTCAATTCGTCACCCCAACATCGTCATCTTCTTGGGAGCTGGAACAAATCATTCCAGCAAAAGACCGTTTATCTTGATGGAGTACTTGCGGCGAGGTTCTCTCCACAATGTTCTCCACGATAGCGGGAACGTGTTCACACACCACGATCATCTTAGATTTGCCCTGGATACAGCCCGAGGTATGACATACCTGCACGAATCCAACCCACCACGTCTGCACCGAGACCTGAAATCTCCCAACCTTCTAGTCAAGTGGGTGGTGAAAATCGGCGATCTTGGCAACTCGCGATTTATGGCCATTCTGGATGAGGAGAAGGCAACAGGAGCGAACAGCACCAGTGCTAGTGCCGCTCAAACTGCCGTGACGCAGTCATCAAACACGACCGCGGACGCGGAGTCCGTAGGCGAAAGCCCCAAGGAAAATGTACTTATCGAGGCTCCTTTTACCGGAGCAGTACTTGACAGACGTGATTCCAAGAGCTCGCTTGCACTATCAGGATACCAGGAGACCAGTCTGTCAACGCCTCTACTCACGGATGTCTCCACAAACCATGGAGAGACGTATCAGCGCTATTCAGCATCAGTGACGACTCGCGGAGTGGGGACTCTGCGCTGGAAATCACCGGAGTCAGTACGTGGCGAGTATTACAATGAGAAAGCCGATATCTACAGGTGAGTGTGAAATTGGTGAAACGTGTAATTTTATAATCACTCCTAGAAACCACGGTCACATTCTCGCAGTGTATTGTGCAGCACAGCTGCTTTCTCCCGAAACGAGTAACACCATCTACTCTCCGCAAAATTACTTTTCGCCGTTTTGCTTCTATATCGGGAGTAATGGCTGTTAGTACAATGCATTCGCACAAATCATATCCCCAAATCATTTCGCCAGGAGCTTAACAATTTCATTAATCTTGGGCACCCTGTAAGAAGACCTTAGGGTCTGTTGGGAATTCCCTAGTAAAATAATAAAATACATTACAATACAAAAGTACAATAGTTGAATACCGACATTGTACTTGCGTGGACATTGAAATCTGATAGAATGACCGGGGCCAGCGCCCTTACTACATTACACTGCGCTGCACTACTCTTGCACTACTTTTGCACTACTCTTGCACTACCCCTGTACTCCTGTGCTCACAATCGACTCCCTATCTACTAGTAAACAGCATTATCATGATTACTCATAAAACTTACCACCGTACAGAACCCTCCCACGATCGTGTAGTTCTGAACAACCATGTACTCGTACCCTACACTTTCTTGATCTAGGATACAACAAAATATTAGTGTAGTCTGCTCTCAGATTCATGCATTTTGCCAAATGTTATTTTTTGTCGGTTTACGCCGTCCCATTCCTGTAAGTAGAGAGGTTTTGCATTCCGAATTTCGGAATGATTTTCGACTGTGCTTTTCCGAAAGAAGCGCGTGCCGAAAAACGGCATTTTCAGTGTTTTGCATTCCGAAAATCTGATTCGACTTCGTTTCCAAGGGTTGCCATGCAAAACAAAATGGAGAGCGTCGAAGGGGTTGAGCAGGATCAGGGAGTCGTAAAATACCGGTATTTTACGACTCCCTGAGCAGGATCAAATCCATGTGCAGGTCAAACTGAATTTGGGTGCGGGTCGAAGACGAGGACGGACTGATGGTGGACCAAGTGATCCAACGTCTGAAGACGAGGTTGGCGAACTACTGTCTTGTACTGTTAGTAGGCTCCAGGGCAAAGGAAAATAGAGTGTGATGGAGTGTGAGAAGATTAGTCAGCATGGCGAGATCAGCGAGAGCAGCAAAAACCAGCAAAAATCAAAACTACATACGCGGAAAATTTTCAAATAATCGAGAGCAGCAGAAAGCAAAAATACAAACATGAAAATACACTTTTTTGTATTCAAATATGCACTCCCAAACATGAAAGAGCGGAAAATCCATTTTCGGAAAACCATGCACTTTCGCCACCACACTTCCGAAAGTTCGACTACTTTTTCGACTGCTGCCGCCACATTCCGAAAATAATTCCGAAATTCGGAATGCAAAACCTCTCTAGTGTTAGCTTTCTCTTTGTGAAGTGCACTCTCGTGCCATGGTGACCACAGTTCAAAAGATAATGAAGAAACGGTGGCGACCCTTTAGCTTTGGAATGTAACATGATTAGATGACCGAGAGCAAATGTACAGGTACAAGACCAGGTGGTGAAGGTCAAAATTTCTTCCCATTGCATTCTATTCCCTTTTTCCCAGGCATGTCTTTATAGGGTCGTAGCATCTGGATTTCATTTGGTCTCGTCAAATTGGATACTGGAGCAGAAATGAACATTGTTGACAAAAAAACATTTTGCATGAATTTTGTAGGTCAACGTTTTTCGAAAGAAGGTCCAGCCATGGCCTACCCGGCCGGACCGGGAGCTAAGGCACTGCCTTATTTGTCATGTACACGTGTAGTTGATCGTTTGCCTGTATGGTTTTTTTCTCTTGTCTTCATTGTCACAGCTATGGGGTTGTGCTTTGGGAGATCTTCACCAGGCAAACACCATACGGACATCTGAAGCGTGAGACAGACGTGGAGAAGGCAATAGAGAATGGTCACGAGCTGCCTATTCCGCCGGGTATGCCCTATGACTATCGTCATATGGTCGAGGCCTGCTTGAGACCAGAAGCGGCCAACCGTCCATGCTTCAGTGATATCCTCCATGATCTGGAAGTTCAACAAGTGAATGCTTGATAATATTATTCTGATCTCTCAGTTCCTGCAACACGCCTTCTCTCGAGCTGGGCTGTTTTCGGTTAACCCGAGCCCCGATTACCGGAAGGTGTGAGCATGTACATGTACCGGTACATGTATGCATGTGTGGTGCATGTGCTATGCATCTGGTGTGAATAAAGTTGGAAAGAGACTTACCACGCATCATCAGGGTGATTTTGATCATCTTTGAACGTCTTCAGCTCTCGCCCAACTTGATATGATGATCTCATGACCATGGCTTGATGGAACTTACACAACCACTACTCTGTTGTAAACCAGTCTCAGCAACGAACCACCACATCATGGTTTATATTGTATCGTGTTATCGCCTGTCGAGGGGGATTCCTGTTTTCGCTTGAGTGATGAGATACCTGGTATGGGGAAACTGGTAAGAGATGGAGGACGAAAAAGAATAGACAAGCAGAAGAGTAATTATAGCATCAAGGTCAAGTCACTGCAAGAGTGTCGATGCTGTAGAGTGCTCTTACGAATCTTAAATAATAATTCGGAGAGAGTTTACGGTTTTACGAAAATCTTCTAAAATCTTCTTATATTCGGAGAGAGTTTACCGTTTTACAACATTTCGCAAGGCCGTACATAAGGTGTTATCTGCACGCCTGTGTCTGTGAACCAGTATTGTTTTCAGACTTACATGTACATGTACACTAGCAACACTACACACTCTCATTCTCATCTCTTTTGTCTCTTAGACTCCCTTTTTGTAGTCTGGATTGATCTTCTTGAGGGTAGCAATGCAATTGATTACTGTGTCTCTGGCGGAATAGGGCTTGAAAGTGCTACGTCACAGCATAGCAACAATTTCAAAAATTCAAAAACTGGATCCACTTGGATCCAGTTTTTGTATGGATTCAAGCACATTTCAAGCGGTCTTACTCACAGCAAGGTGATGTAGCCAATGAAACTGGCTGATTTGGCTACTGGGGGCGGGGTGACAACTGGTGGCGAAGTAAAAGTCACGTCTGCATGCGACATGAGTGGGTTGCTATGCACCCACATACTGAGGCAATAGCAAAGTCACACCTTAGTGGATCCAAAATAGAAATCTGATGTCAACTTACTACTCCCTGGCCGTTTTTTGACGCCATCACGTTGAAGCCCTATTGCGACGTGCACGTTTTCCTGAAGTACATACTTTATTCCCCACAGCAGACTTATCCAATGTGTACGACGTGTCAGGTGCCTCTCCACTACTGTCAGAAAGTGGCTGCCTGCTATGACAGGATACAGAACAACCAAACAAGACGAGTCGTGTACATGATTTTATTTTAATTTTTTAATTAACCTATCGTTTTCCGTGATCCCCAGACGATATTATCTGTGCTAAGGCGTTTCTTGAAAACACAAGGATGAAGCTATGTGGAAGTACTATTGGCCCTAGTTGTGAGCAGCCGCCATGTCTTGTATGCAGTGCCTCATATCGATCCACGTTCCTTCACGACTAGAGGACAGCGTGTACCATGCAAGCTGCTCAGGATTTTTCCCTTTCCTATGCAACTACTTGCTAACAGATTGGGTGTAGAAGTAAAAGTTCGCACGTCCGCGTTACAACCGGTTGTACAATTGTGTTGAGAAACAAAAAACTAACTACTTTAAAAGACGTTTCTCTGGATCTCCGAAAGACTTTTAAAGTATAAATCGTAGAATATGCGCTGAAAGGCTGCCTTGGACGTATCACCCCTCTTGACATCTTGATCATGCGTTCCTCCGCGCGGAGAACTGTCTGTGTCGTGGTTTTAGATGTGTTCGCATCAGTTCTCCTTCTAACTGGTGGTACTGTAAGCGTCCTTGACACAGTGGCAGACGACAGCCTTAGCCGGCTTGCGGCACCACTTGAATTCCGTGATGTTTACCAATATCCGCACTTGCGTTACTATGGAATGCCGCCATTGCATTTTGTCCGTTGTACCCCATCCAGCACTGTATTTCTACAGTCCACTCGCTACAGTGTGGCTGAGCATATTGTGAGGCTGATAATTCCATGGAGAAAAGGATCACCTGTGGAACGTACAGATACCCTTGTTGCAATGGAGGTTTCTAATCCTGGTTTGAGATCATGGAGGCACCTGGCGGAGTTGACATACCCGGACCTTGGCTCACTGTGTCGACGGTCTTCGTATTTTACGCCCGCTCTTGCCACATCACCTGACAGAAGAGACCTGATCTTTTACGACTTCGGACCCTGGCCAGAATGCGACATGATGTTCGTGTGGAGAGATATGCAACTACGAAGGGTGCATACACCAAAGGTGAGTGCGGGCAGTGCAAGATATCTTCAGTCAATTGTTACCTTGAGAGATGACGATGAGCACGCCAATACGTATCGGGTGTTTTCTTACGGTGGCCTTGTGTGCATCAAAGATCTACCGACATTGATCAAACTTCCCCAACTGGACAAATATTGCACGATTTCCTCCAGCCTGCGATACATGCACATTCTAAGTAAGACGGGAGATCATATAGAAGGCACCCAATGGCGAGAGCTAGAAGAGGTTTATTCGCCCTTTCGCCCTCGTCCTCTTCTTTTCCCATCCTTACTTGCAGCCAACCACACCATTATTGCGTACGGTGGAGTGCCAGCATATAATGTACACTACCCCAGAATGAACAAACCTCGAGATGTGGATAGCTACTGCACGTTTTGGGTCTTCAATGTCCGAAAGCGCTCTTGGACGTCTCGTCACAACAACGCCACGGACATATGTCGCCTTTCCGGACATGGCCGCCAGTTGTTTTCAGTCTCTGTTACAGCAAAAATGCTGGCACTAGCCAACAGACCGCGCGCAGTCTTGTTTGCGAACGAATCGAAGATTCTCCTGCACTTTTCTGATCGCCACGTTCTGCGTGTGGTTGAGGTATGCAGTGTGCCACAGAACCATAATATTATCTCTCCATCTAGCACAATATCCTGTCGACGAATACTGACCCAGCAATCCAAGTTGACGTCTACCGTGAACAACAAGATTGGCTCTCCTTATCACTCAGTTGGTGGTGGAGTCGGTGCATTCTTTGGGACGGTAGAGCAGGTGTGGACCATACGGCCTGCAGCATTCTTGTCCACTTGCCCCAGCTTGGCTGAGAACACTGAGCGCGGGTGCAATGATTTCGTCGAGGAGATGATATACGATGCCTACAGGCCAGCCTACGCTCTACCTGGTGGGTTGAGCTGTTTATGGAGTAGTGTTGTTGTACAAACCATACTGGGAAAGGAGAGAGCGATATTCTTGCCCGGCTCTGGATGCTTCTGGTCAAATAGAAAAAAAGCCATACGTCACAATGTCTACTGGATCCTTGATACGACAACGAATGCGTTTGAGACTAGAACGATGGCACAATGTACAGAACATCACATCCGTGATCTCACTGGATCAACTGCTACACAACTTACTGCTGGTGTGGTATTCTTGTTAGGTACGGGATACATTCATAGTCCTCTGCATCCCCGCACAATCATGTGGTGCATTAATATACTGAACTTCACCTGTATGGAATTTACTAACGCTGGCACTGTTCAACTGTCGACACGATACGGTCATATGGCAGTACGGATCGATGATACACATCTTCTGGTCTACGGGGGGAAGAACAAGACCACATCAGATTATCTCTCTGATCTCTGGGTACTCACATTTGACAGTATAGACCAGTGCAAAGGAAAGTGGAAGATTCTGAAACCTACGCATCTTTTGGGCGCAGTGATGCCACGTCTTCGCAACCCGCAAACAACACGCATCAATAATACTCTTTTCGTTTTCGGTGACACATCAGCATGTACTGACTACATAATGGCACTGGATATCTCCCGATACTTAGACAACGGTACAATTCGGATTCACCAAGTCTCCGCACAGCCCTGTCTGTCTAAGAGAGCAGATTTCGCTAGTGTTCAGTACAACAAGAATGGCATATTAGTGTTCGGTGGTTGGACTGCCTACGGTCAACTAGCCACGGTTGCACAGCTCATCCTTCTGAATACTTCCAACCTGCTTTCGCAAGGAAGGGTGATGCCCCTTTTCGACCATACAAATGAAGTCATCATCTTTGATCACCATATGGTAAGAGGGCAGCGTCTCTATGTATTCTCGGGACATGCGGTCCCCAGCAAGCCAGAAAAGTATCTAACGATTGAGACCGAGCTCTGTCCGGCGGGGTACGAGCTGCGTGAGGATAAGACGTGTCGACCCTGTCCGCATGGTTTCTTTTCTTCAACTCTACGTGACAGATGCAAACCTTGTCCCAATTTCACAACGACAGAGACAGAAGGATCGAGCGCCTGTATTGCAATATCTCCGTGCCATTCCCAGTACTGCCATCAGCACGGGGTGTGTATCGTGACCGACTTCAGCGCCAGCTGCCATTGCAACTTTGGTTACGTGTCGTATGACAACTGTAGACTACCACTGGTGAGCTTGGCCATTGCATCCGCTATTCTGCTCCTCGTGTCCTTCATTGCTCTTGCTCTTCGCAAATACCACACGAGAAACCAGCAACTCAAGCTCAAGGAGAGAGAGCTGCAGGACAAACACAAGAGTATGCGACTGTATCAGAAGAAGCTAGACCAGATCAACATCGGAGCAAGAATACGCTGGTCATCGCTGAACCTCACCAAGAAACTGGCCAGGGGAGCATTCTCGCAAGTGTGGCTAGCCGAGTTCAGCGACATGTTAGTAGCTGTGAAAGTACTCCCCAAATATACTGGTAGAAATACCTCGCAGACAGACCAGTTCGTCCAGGAAGCTGAGGTCCTGCGTTCAATTCGTCACCCCAACATCGTCATCTTCTTGGGAGCTGGCACAAATAAATTCAGCAAAAGACCGTTTATCGTGATGGAGTACTTGCGGCGAGGTTCTCTCCACAATGTACTCCACGATGGCGGGAACGTGTTCACACACCACGATCATCTGACCGACGTCTCCACAAACCATGGAGAGACGTATCAGCGCTATTCGGCATCAGTGATGACTCGCGGCGTGGGGACTCTCCGCTGGAAGTCACCGGAGTCAGTACGTGGCGAGCATTACAATGAGAAAGCCGATATCTACAGGTGAGTGTGAAGTTTGTGAAAGATATAATTTTATAATAACTCTTAGAAACCACGATCACAGCCACACTGTGTATTGTGCAGCACAGCTGCTTTCTCCTGAAACTGGCAATACCATCTACTCTCAACAAAAGTACTTTTTTATCGTTTTGATTCTAAACAGGAAGCAGTACACCGGTCGTGGATATTGAAATCCGGTGGGATGACCGGGGTCAGCGCCTTTAGTAAACTTACTACATTACACTGCTCTACACAACTCGTACACTAGTAGTCACTACCAGGGAGTGGTATTGTACTACTCCCTGGTCACTACCCCTGCACTCACAATCGAGTCACCCTACGTACTACCATGATTACGTATCTAATATTGACTGAGTACGAGGTCAATATAGGAAATAAAAGCCGAGTAAAAGACCGAGGCGAAGCCGAGGTCTTTTACGAGGTTTTTATTTCCTATACTGACCAAGTACGAAGTCAATATTAGATTTATCACGACAAACAGTCCGTATTTCAAATTCCAGAACGATAACCTCATGAATCCCGGTTTTATGATTGCACAACCGTTGCACCACGGTCTATTCATGCAGTGACAATGCTGCACTAGGCACCGTTCAACTGCGCAACCCCTAAGCAGTCAAATATAAGCAGTCAATATAGCCCTAAGGAGTGAAATATGCAGGAATATTTGACTGATTAGATATGGCAAAAATCTATGTGAGTCAATACTAAGGGAGTGATAAACATAAATATAGCTTACCACCGTACAGAACCCTCTCACTATCGTGTAGTTCTCAACAACCATGTACTAGTCTACTGTCAGCTTTCTAATATTCTCCACGGATTAATGTTTGCTATTTTCGCGAGAAGAGCGTAACGCGAATATTAACCATCGTGAAATCTAATTTCAACAGCGTGTGTATGTAGGTGACCCCAGTGCTTGGCAAACTTTTGCCATCGCAAACTCGCTGGTTCTAAGAAATCGGGAAAATTTAGTGACGCGAATATTGTGCGTTTTACAGTGCCCTACACGTTTCTTGATCCACTGTCGTGGACATGGAAATCCAGTCGCACGTCTATCGGTCAGGGCGCTGGTCATGCAGCTGTGGGTAAGCAGTACCCACATGCATTACATGGACATGTTCATGCGCTGCAGCGGGCGCACTGGTCGCATCAGAGCAACATGACTGTGCACGACGTTCTGTACGCGCTGAGGGCGCCGGCCCCAGTCAATCGACTGGATTTCCATGTCTGCTCTCAGCTTCATTTATTTTGTGAAGTGTTTCTTTTGGCGGTAAACGCCTTCCCACTCCAAAAATATGAAGAAACGGTGGACACTCTTTAGCTTTGGAATGTAACATGATTAGATGACCGAGAGCAAATGTACAGGTACAAGACCAGGTGGTGAAGGTCAAATTTTCTTCCCATTGCATTCTTCTCCTTTTTCCCCAGGGGTGTGTTTACATGGTCCTAGCATGGGGATTTCATTTGGTCCCGTCGAATGGGACACGGGAGCGGAAATGAACATTGTTGAAGATTTGGCATGAATTGGGTGGGTAAACGTTTTCGAAGGCAGCTCCAGACATGGCCTAACGGCCCGGACTGGGTGCTACGGCCCTGCCTTACGCAGGGCTGCAGCACCCAGTCCGGGCCCTTTTGTCATGTACATGTGTAGTTGTGTAGTGTGCAGCTTGCAGCCTATATCAATCTTATCTTCTGAAAATTGTAGTCAAGTTGCTGTCCGATGATCGGTTCAAACCGTGAAACTCAGAGTTACAGAAGAAACGCTTTTCGTCCCTCTCAAGTGTGTGTGTAGTTGATTGTGTGCCTGTATGGTGTTTTTCTCTTGTCATCATTGTCACAGCTATGGCGTTGTGCTTTGGGAGATCTTCACCAGGCAAACGCCATACGGACATCTGAAGCGTGAGACTGACGTGGAGAAGGCAATAGAGAATGGTCACCAGCTGCCTATTCCACCCGCTATGCCCTATGACTATCGTCATCTGGTCGAGGCCTGCTTGAGACCAAAAGCGGCCAACCGTCCGTGCTTCAGTGATATCCTCCATGACCTGGAAGTTCAACAAGTGAATGCTTGACCATGTTATCTCTCAGTACAGCGCAGTGCGTAACACTGCCCCTGCTTTTAGTCACAAAGAAATGTTGCATGCCCTTTCTGGCTGGTGCAGCTCGTCTGCCCGTGACTGGGCTCGAGACTTTTATCTGGTCGATTCCCGTCCATGTCGGCGAGACGGTTTCAATGCCTTCTCCCTCATCTGCCACAGTTTCCTAGGGTTCACAGTCATATTACTCCACTTTTATCTAGCATGAGCATAGATTCCCTCGTCAGTGTACCCTATAGTGGTGGAATGACTCTATTTGCTGACAATTCCAATCTTCTCTGCTGCTCCGTGCCTGACGCGTCCAGATCGATACACACTGCATCCCTCCAATCTGATCTGGCCCGCTGTCTGCCCTGGTCTAGTGACATCTCGGCTGTACCCCCACTATGTGTTATCACCTTTGCCCCAACCACAGCTACTTCTGGGACCGTTTCCATGAACAGCGATCCCTATCTACCATTATATCCGTGTCCTATTATCCTCCACTTTGAATTTTCTGATCATATTGTTGCCTTTTAAATTTCGTTCTCTTGTTTTTCTCCTTCGGAATATGTCGCATTTCCTCCCACTTTCCACTATCAGTGTCACAAGTTTATACAAGTGTTATGTCCGACCCCTCCTGGAGAATGCCATGCCGGTTTGGAAGTACTCGATGAGTAGAAGTTTTGCTTCCATACTCGATCAACTTCAAGCCACGGCCGCTGGGTCAAACTTGTCCTGCGTTTTAAAAGTCCATAAATCGCTGCACTCTCTTCTGCAAATCCTCCTACTTGTACTCTCAATTTTTACACTCCTTTGAAAGCTATGATGTCAAGAGGTGTGGCACGTCCAAGCTACATGTAGCCTTTCTGCGCCTGTTACTACAATTATGGCCTCCTTATACCCAGAGAAACGTCCTATCAGAGTTGCTTGTGTTTCTCAACACAATTATTGTACAACCGGTTGTAACGCGAACGTGCGAACTTTATTTTTGCTTTTATACCAAATCTGTTAGCAAGTACAGTGCACAGGAAAAAGGGAGAAAATCCTGAGCAGCTTGTATTGTGCACGCTGTCTTCTACTCTGCAATGACCGTTGTATCGATATGAGGTATTACAAACAAGACACAACGACTGCTCACAACTAGGGCCAGCGATACGTACACACAGCGTCATCTAAATCTCCATGGTGTATTCAAACAACGCGTATGTACATGCATATGTACGTGTGTATCGTCTTCGCATCACGGAAAATGATATCTTTAATGTAACATTGCGCGTCTGGTTTCAACCTTTGTTGTTCTTCCTGACTTGCTGTCAGGAGGCGACCACCTTTGGAGAGATTGTATGCACCATGAGCGCTATTATAACAACAATCAGCTGGCTAGGTCTGTGTGATGAACGCTATGATATCAGCATTCACCTGGCTAGGCATGTGTGGAGCCCTAAGCGCCAGGATAGACCTTCGAGATTTCCGGGGCTGTCAAGGAGCGTGGTAATGCCTACTGCAACGTCGAAAAGCACTGCAACCTCTGCATAGCCCAGGAGTACCACTTCCTTGCATCAGACTGCAGAATCTCACTCAACAAGTGCACGGAGATTGTGTCGAAGTATCGCCATGCTGCGAAGTTCCTGCTTGGCAAGTACAAAGGTGTGACCTACATCACTCTTGCTAGGCCCGCTAAATCCATGTATGAAATTCCTCACTCTTACTTACACACATCGCTGCCTCTGTAACACTACTGCATTTAATCGGATCTTGGCTGTTCATCCAGTATTTGTATTGGATTGTATTTTATTATTTTACTTGGGCATTCCCAACAGACTCTAAGGTCTTCTTACAGGGTGCCCAAGATGACTGAAATTGTTAAGGGGCTGGCGAAATGAATTGGGGATATGATTTGTGCGAAGGGAAGGTATTGTTGTCTGAGAGGTTGTATGCTGTGACTCGTATCGATCATACGTATCTTGTATGCAGTGACTCGTATCGATCATACGTATCTTGTATGCAGTGACTCGTATCGATTATACGTATTTTGTATGCATTGACTGGTATCGATCAGACGTATCTTGTATGCAGTGACTCGTATCGATCATACGTATCTTGTATGCAGTGACTCGTATCGATCATACGTATTTTGTCTGCAGTGACTCGTATCGATCATACGTTGCTTCCCGAGTAGAGGACAGCGTGCACCATGCACGCTGCTCGGGATTTTCTTCTCTTTCCTATATATGCGGATTGGCCAGCTCTCTACTTTGGGATTGGCCAGCTCTCTTCTTTGCCGTCTGTATACGCTGAGATCTGCTGGCTCTCGCACCAATGCTGCCACAAGAGGCCAGACCACTTCCGCCCTTGTTTTGTCCACTGCTGCATCTCGTTATGGCTTTCTTTCAATTCGTTATTATGGTGCAGCTTTCTGGAATGCTCTACCTGCGGACTGTCGCCAAGCTACGTCACCTGCTAAATTTCACCGCCACACTGATCAGAACTCACCTAGGGTTCCCTTCAGCAGGCGCCTTCGCTTGTTGGGAGTCTTCAATTAATATAATATTCAATAACAATAATTATTGCTATAATAATAGAGTAATTACAAATTTTGACTTCACGGAGTATTGCAAAGTATTAGGAAATCAGAGATAATAGAGTACTTCAAAGAATAAGGGATGCAGACATAACAATCACAATAACACCGGATGCAAGTACAATTGTATTTCCAGATTCGCGATTTTCGTGTTCCGCTCATTAGTGGAGGAAATGGAACTCAGGTAAAAATAATACATCATTTTAAAAACATATGTAAAATGGGTTATTGAATAGATGGGCTCCACTGAAGAGCGGAACACGTCTGCATCCCTTGTACTCTATTAAATATATGTAGGAATAATTTTAAAGTTGTTGTCTCCACGTCGATATTTTAATAGCAAATGATACACAGAGGCAGAATGCTTAGGTTCTGCGAAAGTTCTCAATACCTGATTCAGGCAGAGCGGTGTACACGAAGGTACACAGTGATAACCTTCAATACCTGATTCAGGCAGAGCGGCGTACACAAAGGCACACAATGAAAACCTTGGACAAATTCCGTTATGCCTCAGAGTTTCATGGCTGAACCAATCATCAGACAACAATAATGGAATAGGAGGCAGCGCTAGTTGCAAATGATAATAATATGCAACTACTTGTTAAAAGATTGGGTATAAGAGAACACGTAGAGCCAGAACATCCCAGTAACAACCGGTTATACAATTGTGTTGAGAAACATAACCACCTTACTTAGGGCGTTTTGCTGGGTATAAGTTGGCCGTAGAACGTTGAACACGCGCAGAAAGGCTAGCTTGGACGTGTCACCCCTCTTGACAATCCTGAAGATGTTTTCCTCAGCGTGGAGAACTTTCTGTGTCGTGGTTTTAGATGTGTTCGCATCAGTTCTTCTGGTAAGTAGTAGTGGTGCTGGAGCCGTCCATGAAACAGTTGCGGACACCAGCCTTAGCCGCCTCCCAGTACGACTTAAATTCCGCGATATTTACCAGTATCCAACAACGCTTTACCCTCCGGTGCTGAACAATGCCTTTGTCCGTTCCACGCCAGCCGGCACTCTTCTTCTACAGTCCACTCGCTACAGTGTGGCTGAGCATATTGTGATGCTGATGTTTGGACAGAAAAATTATTTGGAACGCACGGACACCCTTATTGCAATGGACGTGTCTTATCCTGGTGTGAGATCATGGAGGAACGTGGCGGAGTTGACATACCCGGACCTTAGCGCGCCGTGTCAACGTACTTCGTATTTTGCACCCGCTCTTGCCACATCACCTAACAGAAGAGACCTGATCCTTTACGACTTCGGACCCTGGCCAGAATGCGACATGATGTTCGTGTGGAGAGATATGCAACTACGAAGAGTGCATACACCAAAGGTGAGTGCGGGCAGTGCAAGATATCTTCAGTCAATTGTGACCTTGAGAGATGACGAAAAGCACGCCAATACGTATCGGCTGTTTTCTTACGGTGGCCTTGTGTGCATCAAAGATCTACCGGCATTGATCAAACTTCCACAACTGGATAAATATTGCACGATTTCCTCCAGCCTGCGATACATGCACATTCTAAGTACGACGGGAGATCATATAGAAGGAACTCAATGGCGAGAGGTAGAACAGGTTCATTCGCCTTTTCGCCCTCGTCCTCTTCTTTTCCAATCCTTACTTGCAGTCAACAACACCATTATTGTGTACGGTGGAGTACCAGCGTATAAAGTGCACTATCCCAGAAAGAACAAACGACCGGATGTGGATAGCTACTGCACGTTCTGGGTCTTCCAAGTCCAAAAGCGTGCATGGGCGTCTCGTCAAAACAACGCCACAAGCATATGTCGCATTTCCGGACATGGCCGAAAGTTGTTTCCAGTCTCTGTCACAACAGACATATTGGCGCTCAAGAACAGGCCAAGCGCAGTCTTGTTTGCGAACGAATCAAAGATTCTCCTACACTTTTCTGATCGGAACTTTCTGCGTGTGCTTGAGGTATGCAGTGTGCCACAGAACCATGATATTATCTCTCCATTTAGCACAATATCCTGTCGACGAATCCTGACCCATCAATCCAAGTTCATAAATACCTGGAGAAATACTGGATTGCCTTTAAACTATGCTTATCACTCAATTGGTGGCGGAGTCGGTGCTTTCTTTGGGACACTGGGGCGGGAGTGGACCATACGGCCTGCAGCAACCTTCTCTACTTGTCCCAGCTTGGCCGAGAGCACAGAATGCGCGTGTAATGATTTCACGGAGGAGATAATATACGATGCTTCCTTGCCTACAGCCTACAGTCTGCCAGGAATGTTGGGCTGTACAACGAATGGTGTTGTTTTACAAACCATACTGGGAAAGGAGAGAGCTATATTCCTGCCCGGCTCGACATGCCCCTGGTCAAATGGACAACAAGCCATACGTCACAATGTCTACTGGATCCTTGACACGACAACGAATGCGTATGAGACTAGAACGATGGCAAAGTGTACAGAACAACCCATGAGTGTTGCAACGGGATCAACTGCTACACAACTTACCGCTGGTGTGGTATTCCTGTTTGGCTATGGGATCATTGACAGGCCTCGCCATTCGCGCACAATCATGTGGTGCATTAATATACTGAACTTCACCTGTATGGAATTTACTAACGCTGGCACTGTTCAACCGTCGACACGATACAATCACATGGTAGTACGGATCGATGACAGACATCTTCTGGTCTATGGGGGGTGGGACAATTACAGATCAGATGATCTCTCTGATATCTGGATACTCACATTTGAAAGTACAGGCCACTGTAAAGGAACGTGGAAGATTCTCAAACCCACCAATCTCTTTGGCGCAGTAATGCCAAGTGTTCGTAATCCGCGGGCAACACAGATCAATAATACTATTTTCGTTTTCGGTGACACATTTGCATGTACTGACTACATAATGGCACTGGATATCTCCCGATACTTAGACAACGGTACAATTCGAATCAACCAAGTCTCCGTACAGCCATGTCTGTCTAAGAGAACAGGTTTCGCTAGTGTTCAGTACAACACGAATGGCATACTATTGTTCGGTGGTTGGACTGCCAACGCTCAACCAGATACGATTGCACAGCTTATCCTTCTGAATACTTCCAACCTGCAATCGAAAGGAAGGGTGATGCCCCTTATCGACCATACAAATGTAGTCAGCATCTTTAATCACCATATCGTGAGAGGGCAGCGTCTCTATGTATTCTCGGGATTGACAATCACCAGACAGCAAGAAAGGTATCTAACGATTGAGACCGAGCTCTGTCCGATGGGGTACGAGCTGCATAAGGATAAGACATGTCAACCCTGTCCGCATGGTTTCTTTTCTTCAACTC